GAAGAGGCAGCTGCTGGACCTGCCCATCTCCCAGACGTCGCTCTTCGGTCCGGAGATGCAGACGCTGATGACGAGGCTGGACAGCGCGGCTAAGGACTCGGCTAGCCTGGCAAAACACCTAGCTACGAGACGCGAGGCCCGCCCACCAGCGCGGAGCCGAGACAGAGGCAGGGAGCGCTCGCCTGGCAAGCGCCCCGGACCATATCCACGCTCCGTGGTCCATCGTTCCCCAGCGGCGAGACCCCCGGGCCCAGACAGGCACACGGGAGGTTCGCGGGACCAACACACCCATCGACGGCCTCCCTACGGTAGAGGAGGTCGGGGTGGTAAAAACTCTTTCAATAAAGGCCGTCCGGCATTTCACCAGTACTCGCTGTCTGAGTCTCATTTGAGGGTATGTAACATGTCAAATGATTTGAATTCTGTTTGTGTTACTTCTCGAGCATATAACGTGGCTCCGCCAGGCCTGCAGCCCCCAGAGAAGGGCGTGCAGCGCGCTGTGCAGACCACGAGCTCCGATTCACGGGTTCATGTTTTGCCCTCCCGGAGAGAGGGCAGGCGGAGGGATCTGATAAGTGCTAATGTGTGTGCTCCGGGCGCTAGCGTGTTAGCATCTCTGAGCTACAAGGCTAACACGGGGTTTCCCAATCCAGGGGCTCTCCCCCCCCTCCATGAGGCAAGAGCCAAGGGGGGGCGCAGCAGCCGTGTCACGCGTGATGAGCAGAGCTACATTGCTAACACGGGGTTTCCTAATCCAGGGGCTCTTCCCCCCCTCCATGAGGCAAGAGCCAAGGGGGGGCGCAGCAGCCGTGTCACGCGTGATGAGCAGAGCTACAATGCTAACACGGGGTTTCCCGATGCAGGGGCTCGCCCCCCCCTCCATGAGGCAAGAGCCAGGGGGGGGCGCAGCAGCAGCCGGGTCACGTGTGGTGAGCAGTCCCGTACTTATGACGTCGGACCTGCAGAACACGTGACCGCCCTCGGCGCTCACGGTGTGACGCAGGGGCCCCCCCGGCCCTTTCAGCCACCCCCCCTCCCTGCTAGGAACACCAGGAGGGGGCGGGGCCATGACGTCTCGTGTTCCAGCTCCCGTTCCGCCCCTCACAGATTTCTACGACATCTGGAAGGAGCAGGGCTTACTGTCAGATGTTTGGCTGGAGAAAACTCTGCGCAGAGGTTACGCTCTGCAATTTTTCCGAAAGCCACCACCATTCCGAGGCGTACGGGCAGTACGCTCTCAGGTACGGGGATCGACAGAGGCACTGGAAGCAGAGGTCTCCTCCCTGCTGAGTCGAGGCGCAGCAGTGGAGGTAGACCCGCAGGACGCCACCAGGGGGCTGTACTCCCCTTACTTTCTGGTGCCAAAGAAATCAGGCGGGGTGCGTCCCATTCTGGATCTGCGCGTGTTAAACGAGTGCATTTCCAAGCGGCAGTTTCGGATGCTGTCCACAAGGCAGCTCCTCGAGTGTGTCAGGGAAGGAGACTGGATGACATCCATAGACCTGACAGACGCATACTTCCACGTACCCATAGTGCCAGAACACAGGAGATTTCTGCGCTTCGCAGTGGGAGAGAGGAATTACGAGTACTGCCGTCTCCCTTTCGGGTACGCTCTCGCGCCTCGCACTTTTTCCAAATGTGTGGAAGCGGCTCTGGAGCCGATCAGACGTGCCGGGGTAAGAATATTGACCTATATAGACGATTGGTTAATACTGGCCCCATCCAGGGAAGTGGCCGTGAGCCACACGCAATGGGTCTTGTCCCACATACAGCGTCTGGGCTTTGTGGTGAACAGGGAGAAGAGCAAGCTGCAGCCAGCCCAACGCATGATTTACCTCGGTCTGCAGCTAGACTCTGTGATATTCCGTGCTGCATTGTCCGTGGACAGACGGACGAATATTACCCGTCTGGCCCGGGAGGTTCTGGCGGGCCCCAGAGTTCCCGCTCGGCGCCTCAGGTCCCTGCTGGGGATGATGGCAGCGGCTCATGCTGTGGTGCGGCTAGGCCTGCTCCACATGAGAAATTTTCAGAGGTGGTTCTCGCGCCTCAGGCTTCACCCCTCCCGGGACGGGGGGAGGCTGATCTGGGTTCCCCAAGGGGCAGCATCGGACATCAGGTTCTGGCTCACTCCGGGTCTACTGCGGGACGGAGTGACTCTGGCCTGCGCGGTGTCTCACGCCGAGGTGTTCACGGACGCGTCGCTCGAAGGATGGGGCGGGGTCCTCGGCCAGAGCTCTGTAGGAGGCTGCTGGTCGGACTCAGCCCGTCACATCAACCTGCTGGAGATGGAGGCAGTGCACAGAGTACTGCTGCACTTTGCCCCTCAGCTGCAGGGGAGACACGTGATGGTGCGCTCAGACAACACCACAGTGGTCTCCTATCTGAACAGGCAGGGGGGCACCAGGTCCCCCGCTCTCCATCGCATGGCGACGGTGACGCTGCTGTGGGCGGCGCTTCACCTCCTGTCTCTCAGGGCGCGCCACGTCCCGGGGGTCCGGAACGTGGGAGCCGACAGGATGTCCAGGGGGGGCCCACTCCAGGACGAGTGGGGCCTGGCCCCACGGGTAGCCGCGGAGATCTGGCGGAGGTTCGGTCGTCCAGTAGTCGACCTTTTCGCCAGTGCAGAGAACGCACAGTGCCCGTCCTGGTTCGCCTTAAGGGCCGCGGACGAGCCGCCTTTAGGCGTGGACGCTCTGGCTCATTACCCATGGCCAGGCGGCCTGTTGTACGCTTTTCCACCGGTGCGTCTCCTGCCGGTCCTACTGCGGAGGATCGAACAGGAGAGGAGGTCGGTGATTCTGGTGGCTCCGGACAGCCCGCATGCCCGGTGGTTCCCCTTCCTGAGGGGCATGGCGGTGATGGAGCCCTGGGCCCTCCCGGACGAGCCGGGGGCTCTAGTCCAGGGGGCAGGAGCCCTGTTTTCACGTCCGATAATCGGCCGCAGGCTCTGGGTTTGGAGGTTGAGAGGCGGAGCCTCGTAGATCTGGGTCTTCCCCCTGCGGTGGTGGAGACAATTCAGGGAGCGAGGGCGCCGTCCACCGTGAGGGCCTACGCCACGAGGTGGAGGCTATTCAGTGCCTGGTGCGATTCCCGTTCCTGGGATCCCAGGTTTTGCCCGCTGGAGGGGGTCCTGGGATTCCTACAGGAGCTTTTCGACAAGGGGAGGGCTGTCGCTACCTTGGCGGTGTTTGCGGCAGCCATTACTTCAGGTCACGACGGGTTCGGGGGGTTCACAGCCCGCTCTCACCCGTTGATTAAACGTTTTCTGCGGGGGGCGCGCAGGAGGAGGCCCCCGCTCCAGAGAACGCCTCCGGTTTGGGACCTCAGGGTGGTCCTTAGGGGGCTGTCGGGTTCGCCTTTTGAACCGGCGGCGGAGGCGAGTCCCGATTGTATCGCTTTTAAGACGGCCCTCTTGCTGGCGTTGGCGTCTGCAAAAAGGGCGGGCGATTTGTGTGCGCTCTCAGTCCATGCGTCGTGCCTGTCCTTTGGAGAGGACGACGGCATGGTGGAGTTGTGGCCCAATCCGGCTTTTCTCCCCAAGGTCATCACGTCGGCCTTTAGGTCGAGAGTGATCAGGATTAGGGCTTTCCACCCGCCGCCGCATGCCTCCCCCGAGGAGGAGCGGCAGCACCTTCTGTGTCCTATCAGAATGCTGAGGCATTACCTGGCCATGACGTCGTCATTCAGGTCGGGTGATCAGCTGTTTGTGTGTCTGGGCCCCAAGAACAGGGGCGCCCCGCTGTCGGCTCAGCGGCTGGCGCATTGGGTCGCCACGGCGGTGCGACGGGCGTATCAGGCGCAGGGCCTGGCCCCCCCGGTGGGTTTCAGGTCGCATTCCACGCGTGGGATGGCGGCCTCTACGGCCCTTCTCAGGGGGGCGTCGGTCGAGGACGTTTGCCGTGCGGCTTCTTGGGCGTCGTCCTCCTCTTTCGTCCGGTCTTATCTTCGGATGTGTCGGACCGGTCGGTGGCCCATTCCGTGCTGAGTGCAGCGGATTGAGTTGGACCGTTGGGTCCCTCCCCTGAGGAGTGGGCTTTCGGTCTATTTTTCCGCCCTGGTGCAGGAGCTCTTGGGAGAGGCATCCTACAGGTGCGGTACATATATGTGTGTTTGATCGGTCTGGTAGTCTACATCAGGAGCTCTTGGGAGAGGCGTCCTGTGACTACGGTTGACCTACGATTGGTGTTACGTGGGGGCGTCCTTGGTAGGAGTGGACCGGTAACACGCTTTGTTTCTTCTGCCCTGAGTCCTCTCACGGTGTGAGGGTCTTGCTCGGGCGGAGCTCCAATCACCCTTCGCTGGCCTGCTGGGAGTACATGTTCCTACGGCCTCCGCGTTGTGTCCCACTAGCGAAGTCCTAAGGGACGTAGCACCATGACGTAGAATTAATAGTTACCTAATGTAACTTAAGTTCTACGAATAGGTGCGTAGTCCCTTAGCTACGAGCCCATCAGGCCAGCCCGGCTTGGCAGAGTTCAAGAGGGGGTGCGGCCTTGTGCAGGGGCATTTATAGAGGAAGGTGGCTGGTGATTGGAGCAAATTATTTTGATCTCTCTGGCGTCTGTGACCTGGGGGTCACGTGATATCCCACTAGCGAAGTCCTAAGGGACTACGCACCTATTCGTAGAACTTAAGTTACATTAGGTAACTATTAATTATCGCTGAAGAATTACCAAACCGTTGAAATTGCTAACATACATCAGAGAATCATAGGTATTGGTCCATAGGGGGAGTACCAATGTCCATGAATGTTGATAAATGTCCATAAATGTTGTGTAATGGTCCGGATAACCAACAGTCCACTAACAGTACATTTTCAGACCCTGGCTTTCATTACTGTGTGCAGTTTTTAGCAGCAGGGGTGCAAAGATTCATCTCGGGTCTGATCCAGATTCACTAGATTCAATAAATGTGCTTATTTTGATTGGACATTGAAAGATATTTGGAAGCTTTCCATTGGCTCTGGACTGTTGGCCTAATTGATTGTTTTATGTTCTCAGGATAAAGGAATGGGTCGACCAGATGCAAAAAGACTTAATCACGTTAACAGACAGTGGCATGGAGAATCTTGTAGAGGTAAGCGTAATGTAATATGAATACATTTATTTAATATAGCTTTTAAGACTTGAAGTACAAGAATGTTGCAGTCAGAATCTATGACAATATGATATAATAAAAAAAGATGGATTTAAATATGAGGCCTTCTACAATGACCAGATTCATGTCAGGAATGTACTACTTATTCTTTCCTCTTTCTTTATATTCTTATTGACGTTACTTATAGTATTACCAGACAAGAAAAGAAAAGGAAATGCAAAGATTGCGGTTGTATGCTTGAATGCAGGGAGAAGACATCCCTCCAGGCTGCTAAATAATTGGCTGTTTGGCCCTTATTTTCATCTCCCTGTTTCTTCTTTATTTATTTTTTCTCACATAACAGCGCATGTTATGTAACTCTGCTCTCTCTGTATTTTAGAGTTAATGCACCAATGCATTCTATGTCATGACCAATATTAATTTCTTTATAGATATACCATGATCACAAAACGCACTTCAGTCTGGAGCACAACAATGCAACAGAGCTGGTGGCCAAAGCTGCAGGGGAAATTGAGAAACTGCTCGCAAAACGCTCCGAAGCCCTAAGGGTGAGTGAACCTTTTGCTTTGAACTCATGTTGTCGCTATAACTGCTGTTTGTCATCATGAGAAAGTGAAAACATACAAAACGTTGATTCTTTTTTGTTTTGGTAGGGTAATGATTGTCACACAGATAGTTTGGAATCTATTTTGGGAAAAGCATGTTTTTTTTTTCTTTTTATGATAGACCACACTGGAGACAGTCCTAGCTCGGGGCCATGCACGGATCAGATATAAACCGACATAATCCAGCCAGATGACTTAATACAGATTACCAGTCTATGATCCTGCATGACAAAAGACCAAAAATAAATAAAGCATTACAAGGTCTGATTTTGAGCCTAGGGTCTGAATTTGATACAGTTACTCCTTTTCCCCCATGATATTCACACTAACCATGACAAAATACTGTCTCAAACCCAGGAAAATTAAAGCCATTTGCCACATCACTGCACAGCTAGACACAAATGCTTTGATGAAAATAGAGGATAATGTGTAAATTACTTTTTTTCAGATTCACAATGGATATAGTTTCAAATATTTTTTTTTCAACATCATAATCCAATCCAATCCACTATCTATATAGCACATTTTATAAAACAAGTTTCCAAAGTGTTTGAAAATGCTGGTATTGCTTGCATTGTTTTAGGCACAACAGAAAACCACTGTAACTCAGTTAAGATCTGCGTAGGCCACTAGTCTAGATCAATCTACCTCCAGGAGACTGAGATCCAATTAAGCCTTGACAGGATGTTGCCATAGTTACATTGTCATTGATTTCTCTATCAATCAGTGACCCGGCCTTTGACTCCACCATGTTGGAGGATGAGGGGGCGAGACCTCGTTTTTGTGTTGTTTTGCTGCTCACTGATCGGGGTTCATTGTTCTGTACCATACCATAGAAATGAACCATGGAAATACTACTGCATAGGGCTGTTAGGCTCTAAGTGGCACTGAGCCAGGTTTATGACTGCTCATTTGGACCATAACTATTTACTCATCCACTTTAGAGAAATGGTATGGAAGTACCCATAGAATTTAAGTAATGTTCATATCTTAACCTATGGGTTAATGTAATGTTATACTTCATATTGCATCCTACAAAATGACCTTCACAGAGGCCTATTCTTTGAATTATTGCTCACATGCCGTAGGGGTGATGCTTTGAGTGCTGGGTGCAGCTCTGACTGCCATCCCCCCCAACCCAGAAATGGATTAAGGGGAAGAAAATGGATGGATGGATGCTCACATGCCCTATCACCACCATTTGAAGACATGGAATACTCAATCCCTTCAAACTAGGTTATACATGCAAAGAACACAGCATTATGATAGAATAGGCTTTTGCTTGTCAACAGTATAGACACTCACACAAAAAAAAATACTTTTAAAACATTGTAATAAATTCATAAATTTGACTTATTTTATAGCAAAATATGGTTAGAAAAATATAATAAAAACAACCTCAATGAAGTGTTCCTTGCATAATTACTGTGTGATTTGTGTTCATCTTCCTCCACAATACTTTCGCTTTAGCCATGTTTGTGTATGGGAAGACCCTGCCTTTCTCATTTTGACGTTGCTCTTGACACCAGGTTAAACTGTCTCCTCCAGCTACTGTACATGCTGTGCACTCTGAGAGGCCAAGTGGAACAACTGCTGTGAGCATACCCCAGGTTTAGTGGTAGAAAGTGTTTATGCAAGTTGAAATAAATTATATAAGAAAAGGTTCTTGGTCTCTTTGTCAGACTGTTTCTCTCTAAATGTATTGTTTGGGTGCAGCTCTGACTGCCACCCCCGACCCAGAAATGGATTAAGGGGAAGAAAATGGATGGATGGATTTTTATTTTTTTTCTACAACCTATTGCTTGGGAGCCAGACCCCTTCCAAGTACATCACTAAAGTATTTTTAAGTAAAAAATGTTTATGGTGATCTGGTCAGTGAGAATTCCAATGCTAACTGCTGTTGATTAATACTAGGGCTGGGAAATTATCTCGTCAGTTACAAAGACACATCTATAATTGTGGGAGTAATAAATGTTCTTTAATCTTAACAGAAACCGATGTATTGGCCATCCGAAGGATTAAACTGGGTGTCTAAGCAGTCTAAGCAGAGACGCCCAGACTTCCCTATCCACACACTCTTTCTCTAGCCATAACCCAGGGGATTCCTTCCTAGGTAATTTGAGGAACTCAGAGGTTGTTTACACGAGGATGCTGCAACAGTTAACCGATAGCTTTGGGTTTTGGATTGGCCTTTTGTTTACACAAAGATACTGTTTTTTCAGGGGGGTGTTTCACGCTAGCGTTGAGAAAGGGCTTCCAGAGTGGAACAGAACAGATACGCTGCGTGGCAGGGGTCTGTTTCACAATAGCTTGAAGAAAAAGGTGGGAATTCTCTGGCTGCAATGACCTCACCACTTCCCCTCATTAAATTTAGAAATGTGCAGTAACCAAGAACATTTGTAAACAACAATGGCGGCGGATCCTCTAATGCAGCCATTCCAAAACTCAGTAACACCGAGGCCCCCTTAAAAATCTGACGGGTCTGCGTGGCCCCCCAAAATCATAACCAAGAAGACAACATTAAGAATAGGCTCTTCTGGTTATTTTATTTTGGGGAAATAGCCTCTGCAACAAACATTGTAATACAAAAATGATTACAGTGGATTATTCAAGTCAAATAATGAACACAAATATTTTAATATTACAAACAAAACATTATAAATTTAACATTAAATATATATATATATTGTTTTTATGACCTCCCGCGGCCCCCCTGCAGTACCCTCGCGGCCCACCAGGGGGCCGCGGACCCCACTTTGGGAGACACTGCTCTAATGCTACGTGTGCTTCGTACATTACACAGAAGAGCAGTTCTACTCCTTCATCCAAACAAAACCACGTTTCAGTTTCAATTTCAGTTTATTTATTATTAGGGCAGAAGTTTAAAAAAAAGTGTGCGCCCATTGGATGTTCATGATACAATACGTAAGTTACCATAAAATATTTCATTGAATTAACATTTATAAGTTACAAGTTAAACAAAATCAGTCAGTTCGGTATCCGTTTTTTCTCTAATACTAAAAAGGAATTACATGTATTTTCATGTCTCTGCTGAGATTGTTCCACAACTGAGCCCCATGAAACGACAGACATCTCATTTTCTTTCTTTTGGTAAAATAAATGTACTCTATTTTGAAAATACTTTTGAACACCTTCTGAAAGCACATTTGATTTAGCCTGAATGATTTGAAGAATAATATAGTTAAAATGTCTTTAAATTTCATAATATTTGTTTTTAGAAATAATGGCTTTGTATGATCATAATATCCTACTTTATTTATCACGTGAAGCTGTAGTTTCAGTTTCTATTTTAGTTGCTACTGCTAAATGCATGAATTATTTTGGTGCATTGTTTCCCATCTTTACAGTGGCCTGGAGGATGTTGTTGGGGAAGTGGGTTCGCTTGTGTCGTGTTGTTAAGTTCCAATGTTTCCTACTGGCCGGGTGCAGGTACTACATTGTCTTCCGTCGCTGTCCACAAAAAAAACGTTGAATTTGAGCCTGCAGTTTTTGCAAATGGCTTTGCAGCGTTTCCGCAGCGTTTATGGGACCATAGTCTCTCCAACATGGTCAAGGTCTTCTCTGGGGCCCTTTAATATGAGTTTTTTTTTCCGGAAATAAGCTCTCGCTATTGTTTAATCTGAAATGCCTGATCTAATTTGTCAATTTTGTTCTTCTTAACCTTTGCCGTGACTGTCCGGACTATCCAGGTCACCTTTGACTCGCCTGACTCTGCTCTCATCAATAATTAAAATATCTCATTTAGAGGGCCTTTGTTAAGACCTTTAGTTACTGTCCTGGTGGAACACACTATTTATCTTACACACACACAGAGCTCTCCGTTTTTTTTTGCACAAGTCAAGCTCTTCACTTCAAGCGTTTCTAAAGAACGTTGAATTTTAGTAATGTTTATCTTCTGAGTAAAAGATCTTAAAACAAGTATCTCTCGACAATAAGCAACGTATAGAGATGTCAAATAGGCTTTGTTTGGCTCCCTTTTAATGTGAGTTACTAGATTGTTCAATTGGTAAAGATATTTCAGAAGTATTAATTCATTTCAATACACGGTTGCGTCGTAACATGATCACCGCAGATTTTCCCAAAACTTTTTCACCATAATGACTAGTACTACTATGTAAAGCTCATTTTAATGTCATCACAATAAATGTATCCATGGGGAAGAGTTATGCATGTCATCTATCATGTCGCGAATTGTCAGTTCATTGTGAGCCTCTTATAAGACCTTTTGTGAGGACGGAGTAGTGTAATTACTACGGAGTCAGTGATCTCTCGTGTAGAAGCCGGTTATTAAAGTGACAGTGTGACATGCTGGAACTCATTATTGGACTTTACTGTTTAAACCCTAATTACAGCACTCTCACCGTTCAGTTTTTACGAAAACCTCTCTCTCACAATTACATTTCATCATAACATTTTAAGAATAACCAGCAATTTACATGTATGTCACTTCAGAAAAAAAGTATTAGTGCTGAAGTACTTAGAAAAACAACTATACTCAGAGTAATATTGCAACTATATGGTCATCTGATCTGTCATGGACTGACATTTCATTTTTAAAAGAATGCATATTTCTGACCTTGGTACACTGTATTATTATGCGAAGTAAGTATTTTGCAACAATGATGTATCTGAAATAGTCTCTCTGCTTGACAACCAAATTTTCTGGAGGAGAATAGTCCAGAAGTAATGACCAGAAGCCTCAAAGATAAGATTTTATTTACAAAATGTTTCACTCTCTTCATAGTTTTAAAAACATAAAATAATAGACAAATATTTGACAAAAAAGATAAGCATGCCTGGACATAAACTAGACCAGCTACATTTGAAGAGAAAGTACATAGTGTCCAGTCCACATATAGCGCACACACGTTCATGTTATAATGTAACACTTGGACTGATGGAGCAAAACAACGAACTGTTGA